TATTGTCCCCATTTTACAGATGGCAAAATCAGACCTCAGGAGAATGAAACCAGTTGAAGGTCTGGCAGTGGAAAATGGGGCTGAAGTTAGATATCAACGGTGACTGCGCCTCAGCACTACCTTGTTCTTCCTCATACTAAATATGCTGCTGGGGCTGGGGATTTAGCTCAGCGGCAAAAAGCGCCTGCCTGGCAAGCGCAAGGTCGTGAGTTCGGTTCCAGGTACCAGAGAAAAACCAAAAAAAAAAAAAAAAAAAATATGCTGCTGACCAGACCCACACAAGTTCATTTTCAAAACCATTATTTCAAGCAGGATTTTACAGCTCCTTTAGGTCCCTGCAAGTCCTGAGGCCTTTGAGAGCCAGTGTTGGGTTCAGAAACACCAGGGACAGGACCCGAGTGACTTTTTGTTTCTGTGCACTTTCAGCCTGTCATCTTAGCTCTTAAATTCCTTAAACCATCTCTGAGACAGAGTTTATGCAAATATGAGAGAACAAAAGCTGTTGTTCTACAGGATAGAAGTTACAGGACTTTCCCTGGAAGTGGGAAAGGCAAAGTGAAAGCAGAAATGGGTTTGGATACAGAACAGGCAGAACTCAGGACACCTGACAGCCCACAAGAACTGGGCTCTGTGGAAATACGTGGATGTGGGCTTGCTTTTCCAGTCTGATCCGTATTTCATTCATCAACAACACATATTGTGAGGCAGGGTATTTTGAAATTTGGAATAACTAGCATTGTAATCTCTTAATTTTTTGTTGTTTTTTTTTATTATTTTAAAGAGTAAAAGAAGGATAATGTAGTAATAGGGGGGCTTACGGAATTACAGACAAAGTGGTAGGAAATTATCAATGGTTGTTGTTTTATTTTTTATTTTTTTTGGTTTTTCTCTGGTACCGGGAACCGAACTCAGGACCTTGTGCTTGCCAGGCAGGCGCTTTTGCCGCTGAGCTAAATCCCCAGCCCGGTTTTTGTTTTATATATTGTTATCTACAAGATAGTTTCTCAGGAAAACAAATAGAGAAATAATAGTGAGTTACAGACAAAAGTGGTAGGAGATTATCAATGGTTGTTCTACTATACTTTGGTATCTTCAAAGTGGTTTCTAATGTGTTCTTGTTTTGTTTGTGTGAGGCAGGGTCTCACTGATGAGTTTAGGCTCATCATGAACTCACTATGTAGCTCAGGCTGGCTGTGAACATACAGTGATCCTCCTACCTCAACCTCTGGAGTGCTGAGCTTACAGGTATGCCTCACCCTGCCTGGCAGCAATGTCTTAAATATTTTAGCCTTAGTAGAATTTTGCAGCCTTTTCATTTATTCTACATATATATATTTAACACAGTATCTAGGCGATCGGGAAATACATATGTGAGCAAAACTGACAGATCTTCCTCATAGAGAGTATATCCTAGAGGGCCATGAGGTGGCACAACAAACAAGTTTTAAATGTAAATTAGTACAGCCTATTGTTGTGGCCTAAGCTCCTGTACTATACCCCCATATACCAGTCTAAAAATAAAAATAGAAAAAAAATTAAAATGGAGTCACTCATACTAAAGTGCTTCATCACCAAAATAAAATCAAGGTATTGTTTGACCTTCTGAGAATGCAAAACAGATTAAAAAAAAAAAAAAGCAAACTTGCAAAATGCGCCACACTCACTTGGCAAAATAATGAAGTTCCCTCTGCTTTAGTCCTTACAGAAAGTAATGATGTTAACCAATCACTTCCTTTTCTAGTGTTCTGTCTTCCTGTCCTTGCCTTCTGAAGAAGGTAACTTTGAAATGGCCCACCTGCTTTCTGTTCTTTGTTTCTGCTGTCTTCATCCTCCCTCCCCCGACCCTATAAAATCAGCCTCATCTTCTCAACCTATCAGAGCACTTACTCTGCACGTGGTGGTACACACCTGTATTCCCAGCATTCGGGGAGACTGAGGCAGGAGGATCTCAAGTTTGAGCGCAGCCTGGGCAATTTAGTGATTTAGTGAAACCCTGTCTCTAAAGAGCATAAAAAGGGTTGGGAATGTAGCTCAATGTGCAGGCCCTAGGTTCAACCCACAGTATGGGGGTGGATCTCTTATTGTAGAATCACACAGCCAATTAAGGTTTTTAAGCATTTGTTATAATTCCTTCTTTTGAGGCAATGAATTCAACACATAAGTACATTAGTTTATTTGTTGGAAAGTTAAGAGTGCTACAGAAAGATATAGCCAGGCTGGTAACACACACCTGTAATCCCAGAACTCTGGGAGGCTGAGGCAGGAGGATCATCAGTACTTCAGGGTCAGCCTTGGCTACATTGTGAGTTCAAGGCCAGCCTGAACTAAGCAGTGAGACCCTGTCTCAAAACCAGATAAAACGAAACAGGGCAAGGGAGTTAGCTCAGCGGCCCCGCACCTGCCTGGCAAGTACAAGGTCCTGAGTTTGATGCCCAGTACCAAAAAAACAAGAAAAATATGGAACAAAGTAAAGCTGAATGAGTATTCAGGGAAGGCTTGCAGGCAGGGTTAACTTTAATGTGAGATTTGGACAAAAGGTTGAAAGTCTTAATAAGGGTTAAGGGGCGGTGGTCAACCTAGGAGAAGAGGAGCCCCAGAACAGCGAGCAACTAAAGCAAACGCCCACCCCTAAACAACCCCCCCCCACAAGAGTGAGCCTCTGCTGTTGCTGACAGGAAGGAGGAAGAGAAGGCCAAGAGGCTGCTAAAGATGAATTAACTGTGGTAGAGACTTACCTGGCACGACTTGGGTTCAACAGCAGCAACACACGCACATTGTATGATGAAGTTGGACAGGAAGCCAGATTTTCTGAGTACTGCAGATTGAAATCAGGGCCTTTACACTGAGTTACATCTCCAGCCCCAACTCCTTCTTTTGAGACAGGATTGTAAATTGCTAATTTGCCCAGGCTGGGCTCAAATTTGCGGTCCTCCTGCCTCAGCCTCCTAGAGTTCCTGAATTACAGGCTTGCACCACCACATGTCGCTGGAAGCCAGATTTCACAGCTCCTTTTAAGTTACTGCACGTCCTGTGGCTCTTACTCCCATGTTGGGAGCCAGTGCAGACTTCAGAAGGAGAAATGATGTGACCTGGTTAACTTTATAAAAAGCTCACTTGTTCGTTTACTGAGAATATATTACAGAAAGGCACAGGTGATAGTCACTGCAGTAATTGATTTGAAAGACGATGAATACTCAGGCCAGAGTAGTAGCAAGGAGGTAGAAAAACTGGTTGGAATTGGACACACACTGAAGATAAAAACCCAAATTATTTCCTTAAGGTTTTCCTACAAATCTAAAGCACATCTTAAAGAAAGAGGATCACTCTTTGAAGTTTTTACCCTGGGTAAGAGATGGATTTGCCACTGATACATGCAAAAGGTCAGAATGGGGTTGGTGTAGAGAGGAGATGGCATCAAGGAAATGGCATTTCTGGTCCTTTCTTCTTGGCCCCTCCTCCCTGAGTAGGTCTTCCTCCCAGTTTGGCATCTGTCTACCAAGACCTGAGGCTGCTCTTGTTCCTTCCTTACGCCCAGGGAGCTGCTTCTCAGAATTCTTGCTGCACTTGCCCCTTAACTGCTGGTATTCCCTAGGCTTTAGTCATGAGCTTGCTTTTTATAGTGCAAATACTCTCTGTAGAGTACATATGTCCCGTATCAGCATTCGCTGGAGAAACAGATTTAATATTATATGTATGATATGTAAAGGATTTACTAAGTATGCTTACGGTGTCTTCCTGCAGAGTCGGGGGTGGCAGACTGCAAAAGAGCCACCTGTGAGCTGGCTGGTGAGCTCTAGGATGAAGTCAAATGTGAAAGACCTGGAGCTCCCTGCAGAGTATGGTGGGATTCCCTGTAAGGAAAGCTAAAGGGTGTGCACTGGAAGTGTGGAGTCTGTGCTAGAACCCTGAAAAAACTGGAGACTCTGGGATCATTATATTACTGAACTGGATATGCATATATCCCCTTATTTAACCGCTAAAGCTAAGCCAGGTTTTTTTTATTCAAGCTTCTCCTGACCAACTTATGAAGCCCAGGATAACAGGGCCAGAGCCTATAAAAAG